TATAATCATAAGCACATGATGAAAGAAGTATTGTAGTAATTGTATAGATCTACCTGAAGGAAGAGTAATACAGTACTCAGTATATATACACCCTGAAGGAAGTATATAGCTCCTGAAGGAAGTATATACCTCCTGAAGGAAGTATATACCCCCTGAAGGAAGTACACACACCCTAAAGAAAGTATATACGTCCTGAAGGAAGTATTTATCATCTAAAGAAAGTATATACCCCCTGAAGGAAGTATATAGTACACCTGNCCTGAAAAATTATATACCCCCTGAAGGAAGTATATACCCCAGAAGGAAGTATATACCCCTTGAAGGAAGTATATACCCGCTGAAGGAAGTATAAACCCCCTGAGGGAAGTATATACCCCCTGAGGGAAGTATATACCCCCTAAAGGAAGATATACACCCCCCGAAGGAAGTATTTACCCCTTGAAGGAAGTATATATCCTCTGAAGAAAGATATACCCCCTGAAAGAAGTATACACCCCCTGAAGGAAGTATACACCCCCTGAAGGAAGTATACACCCCCTGAAGGAAGTGTTCTATATGCATATATCTATATATCTGTCTCCTAACCTCCAAGTCGTGAAAGTAACATACAAACCCATCAAACACACATAAACACCTCATCACACATTACAACTATACATACGCACAAAATCACACACTAGTACATCGTTATGCCTATACAGTACAATCACAAAATACAAAGATACCCACACAGATGACATAACTCTTCTACCACTTATTTGTTAAAATCTGATATTTTAAATTTTGCTTCCTTTGAATGAATATTGCTACTTGCTAGTTCGTTAGTATTGAATGCTTAACATAATTGTTAAAGCGCCTGTTNACCCTCATCATATACATGCATCCTGACTCTTCAGATTAAATTAGATCAAAGTCATTAATTAATACTTCCGTATACGAGATACATGATACCCAGACCCAAACCACGATTTTGCTCTTAGATAATCATTTTTAAATACCCTCTCTTCACGCGACAAAACAGCGCAAAAATATAAGAATATTAATCCAAACTTTTATACAGCTCCAAGCGATTACATGATTAAGATTCTTGAATGATCAAATAGTGTATGCCAAAAATTTACAGATGATATAAAAAGATACTTTTTAAAGTATAGGATAGACTTAAATCGGTTTTTTAAATCTTACATTTGGATCGAAACATTATTTTGGGCTCCAAATGTTGTTCATTTAAATTCACGAGGAATAAAAAAGCCTATTTTTTAATGAGTATGAAATACTAGGCTTTAAGGGACCTTCACGCGCATCTCTATTTCAACTTTAAACTGTGGCTCTATTTGTGAGAATTTTCTTTGGAAATATCTTTAGGCTAAAATATTAGATATGAAAACTTAAATATTAACCAAAATTATAATAGGAAGGGAGGGTTCTATTTCAAACTATTAAAGAATACTCAAGTATGCTTGGGTTTTAATTACTTCTTCAGCTTGAACCCGATCCCATTATAGTTGTAGGTATAAGTATTGTATAAACTGTTCTCTCTCTCTCCCCCCCCCCCCCCNGACCTTTAGACTCCAGTTTTGACTTCAAATATTCCAATGAACACAGGCGCGTAGTGGAGGTTTAGCTTAGGGGGTGCGCCGAAATTTATTTGCACCCCCCTAAAGGTTGATGTGCATTGTGCACCCCCCTAAAAAACCGGCATTAAGAAAAAAAAAAGTTTAAAATCTTTATTAATCTACCTGAAGGCTGACTATTAGTCATCTGATCATAATTACCAATCATTTTAAATGAAACCCCGCGAAAAAAATATTAAGGTACAAGAAAGAATTTGAGAAATAATCATAAAATGGACAAATTGTGACATTGTCGATTAATAAGAAAAGTAAAAAATCGGAATATATATGTAAGTTTACTGTTTAATAAATTAGAGCCTGCCTCTGGCTCTAGGTGGGGGCCTAGGGGGGTGCATGCCTAGGGGGGCACAGGGGTACCGGCCCCCCTCCACTACGAGCCTGAATAAACATGAAGAACATCAGTTTTGTGGTGTAAACAGACCCATTTTACTTAATAAGTGCTTAAATAACTTACAACTAAAGCTATTTGCTTTGTAACAACGTCAAATTGATTTCAATATGTCTTAAATGTCGTCTTCCTATTCTAGTGTTTTATGGTTATCTATATAGCAGTATCTAAACTCTAACCCCTCCTATGTAGCAGGATAAAAACTCTAACCCCTCCTACGTAGCAGGATCTAAACTCATAAACCCTCCTATATAGCAGGATCTAAACTCTAAACCCTCCTATGTAGTATAATCTAAACTCTAAACCCTCCCTTGTTACAGGATCTGAACTCTAAACCCTCCTATGTAGCAGGATATAAACTCTAAACCCTCTTCTGTAGCAGAATCTAAACTTTAAACCCTTCTATATAGCAGTATCTAAGCTCTAAACTCTCCTATGTAGCAGGATATAAACTCTAAACCCTCTTCTGTAGCAGAATCTAAACTCTAAACCCTCCTTTGTAGCAGAATCTAAACTCTAAACCCTCCTATGTGGTTTAATCTCAACTCTAAACCCTCCCTTGTAGCAGGATCTAAACTAGAAACTATTTCATTTGTTTTATATGGAATTGTTAAGAATCTAAAATATTTCCAAATACCAGTACATATGGTTTAAATAAACTCTAAACCCTTCTATATAGCAGTATCTAAACTCTAAACCCTTCTATATAGCAGAATCTAAAATTTAAACTCGTATGTAGGAGGATTTAAACTCAAAACCCTCCTATTTAGCAGGATCTAAACTCTAAACCCTGTGGCAGAATCTAAACTCTAAACCCTTCTATATAGAAGTATCTAAACTCTAAACCCTGTGCCAGAATCTGAACTCTAAACCCTGCTATATAGCAGTGTCTAAACTCTAAACTCTCCTATGTAGCAGGATATAAACTCTAAACCCTCTTCTTTAGCAGGATCTTAACTCTAAACTCTCCTATGTAGTATAATCTAAACTCTAAACCCTCACTTTTAGCAGGATCTAAACTACAAACTATTTCATTTGTTTTATATGGAATTGTTAAGAATCTAAAATATTTCCAAATACCAGTACATATGGTTTAAAAAAGGGGTGAGTAAATTGAAGAAGGTGTAGATTTAGAGGATTTGTGCTGATTGAGAACATGGATGAAGAAGGGTGAAAAAGAATGGAAAAGAAGAGGAAAAGAAGGGAAAGGGAGGAAAGAGGGTTAAAGGGACTCTTAACATAATTTTAAGAGACTCTCCATTGATAAAGTTTTATATATTTGGTAAATATAGGGTAAATGAGAGGAAAATGAGGGAAAGGGGATTGAAAAGGGATGGATAAGGTGGAGAAAAGAAAGGGGAAAGGAAGTGAAAAGGAAGGAAAAATGGAATTATTAAGGAGAGCAAATGGAGGGGAAAATAGGAAAAATGGAATTATAAAGGAGAGAGAATGGAGGGAAAAAAGAAAAAATGGAATTATAAAGGAGAATGGAGAGAAAACGGAATGAAAGAGAGGGAATTAGAGAAAATGTTTGAAAGCTTAGAATAAGAGTACACAGCTAAAAGCTAATTATTACATTTTCTTTACTGCAAGAAGTATGCATATTGCGTATTAAGATTTGTTCCTGTCTATAATATGAAACAGAAGTGAACAGCAATACATCCACCTGTTTATAATATAAAACAGAAGTGAACAGCAATACATCCAATATGAAACAGCCAAATACAGAAATCAGCGTCAACCAATTTTCGTAGAATATAAATTTTGCAAAAAACAAAAAAGTAATTAGAAAATACAATAGTTTTATAAAGCACATTTTTTCTATCTTTCGTTTTAACAAATTCAAGTGACTTTAAATATAACCTGGATTAAAAATATGAAAAAGATTACTCTGCTTAATGCAAATTTAACCGAATTTGCACGCTTTTGCACGGTTTTGCATTGCATGTGAGTAATTTGTCAACCGTTGAAAATATTTCATTAGTTTTTCAAATCTGAAATTAGAAACGAGAAATTAACTCAATTTAAACTTAAAGATGTGGGGATAGGGGCAAAGTATTTCAAGCGCAAATATATTCGCACTTCCGTATCTCTCAGCGAGGGAAGGAAGGCCAACCACAACAATTTCTCGTCCGAGCCACATTCTCCTTATTTTCTCGTCCGAGCCACCTTAAAATTCTCGTCCTTCCCACTGATAAAAATGCTTATTTGTAGAAAATCGTTCATTATTCACAAATAAAAAAATTATTTGGGAAAATTTAGTATTTTATTTGTGCCCTTATGTCGCCAGATTTTCAAAAAATGTTTTATCTGCAAGGCTTAGACATTATAAGAAAATAATATTGGAGGGACGAGGATATCGAGGTGGCTTGGACGAGAAAATGAGGAAACTTTGGCTCTGACGAGGTATTGATGTGGTTGGCCTTCCTCCCCTCCGCTCACCGTCAAGATATGGTGCACACACATACACTGTAATCTTCACATGGGTGTACAACCAGACAAATACTAGGGGGGAGGGGGAGGGAAGGAAGTTGAGGCAATTGTAAAGCAGGCAGAGGAAGAAAAGATATCTTTTGAAGATCTAAAGGTGTTAAACTGTTTGATTTGAATAGTGATTTTAGGGTGTGGCTAGTTTTATGATTTAGGGGGTTATATTTGAAAAGAAGCAGGTAGGGGGGTGTCACTGTCTTTTTATGAGAAGAAAAAGAGAGAAAGGGAAAGGATGTGTGGGAAAAGAAAGGATAAGTAGGATAAGGATGAAAAAGGAAAAGATGTGTAAGATAAGGAAAGCAAATGAAAGACCATGTAGGATAAGGAAAGAAAGATAAAGGATGTTCAGGATCAGGATAGAAAAGGAAAGAATATATAAGACAAGGGAAGACAAGCTTAAAAAGGAAAGGATATGTAGGAAAAGGAAAGGACATGTGAGATAAGTATCAAGTGAAAGGATGTGTAGGATAAAGATAGAAAGGGAAAGAATGGAAAGGATAAGGATAGAAAAAGGAAAGGATGGAACGGATAAGGATAGAAAGGGAAAGGATAATGCTGGAAAGGATAAGAATAGAAAGGATAAGGCTGGAAAGGGGAAAGGATGGATTGGAAAGGATAGAAAGGGAAAGGATGGCCATGATAAGGTTAGATAGGGAAAGGATGGAAAGGATGAGTCTAGAAATGGAAAGGATAGAAAGGGTAAGAATGGAAAGGATAAGAATGAAAAGTGAATGGCTATGTAGGTTAAGGCTAGAAAGTGAAAAGATATGTAGGATAAGGATAGAAAGGGAAAGGATTGAAAGGATAATGATAGAAAGGGAAAGGATTGAAAGGATAATAATAGAAAGGGAAAGGATGGACAGGATAAGGCTAGAAAGGGAAAGAATGGAAAGGATGGATAGGATAACGAAAGAAAAAGAAAGGATGTATAGGATAAGAATTGAAAGGGAAAGGATGGATAGGATAAGAATTGAAAGGGAAAGGATGGAAAGGATAGGGAAAGGATTGATAGGATAAGGATAGGATAGGGAAAGGATGGATAGGATAAGGATAGAAAGGGAAAGAATGAAGGAGAACTATAATGACAGAGTTCAAGGTTGAGATGGTTTTGTTTAATGTAAACGATTGCTGGGTTGGATCAATTATGGTTTGTGAGATATTGATGATATTAAACAATTTGTAAATATTTAGATATTGATGATATTAAGCAATTTGAAGATATTTAGATATTGATGATATTAAGCAATTTAGAAATATTTAGATATTGATGATATTAAGCAATTTGTAGATATTTATGGATAAAGCTGTGATTGCTATAGCTAGAGGGGAGTGTGGGGGTGGTATGGATTGATGTTTGACTACAGAAGATTTAATTTTAGTTTTGGCACGCTATACTAGGCATTATTAGCTAATTCCAGTGCCATGAATATGTATATATATACACATATATTTGTATATATATACAAATTTTTATATATTTTAAAAGTATTTATGTATATGATTGATTTAGTGTACCTTACATGTATTTTGGTTCTTATTTCTGGTCCAAATAACTTAATTATTGTAGTATATGTTTTGGTAAATGATTATTATAAATCATAATAAATAAATGTTTCTTGCGTAAATATCATCTATTAACTCGGATTTGAACACTGAACAGCTGAACAGCTAAACCAATGATGTTTTGAAAATCCGACAATAGAAGAGTCAGAAAAATCTGCGAAATCATTTATTGTTAATTTTTTATAATTTACTTTGAAACAATAGATGCAGTTAAAGCTGAATTTTAAAGCTAAAATTTAAACTTAAAAGAGGGATTGTATTTCGACATGTATTCAAAAGATTTTATTTATTTGGTTAGATAGGTGGATAGATAGATAGAAAGAAAGATAGATAGATAGATAGATAGATAGATAGATAGATAGATAGATACATTGATAGATATGTTGATAAATAGATAAATAGATAGATATTTATATAGATAGGTGGGTAGTTAGATAGATAGGTAGACATATAGATAGATAGACAGTTATATAGATAGAACCGGAAGTAGATTTGAAGATCGGAAGCATAGAGAGACTATTGACCTTATAACCAAACCAGGAACTTATATTCATGACAATACTATGTAATAATATATGTATATATACATTCATACATTTAGAACTGAAATCCTATATTGTGTTCAATTATAATTCCTTTTTTAAAGGAGATTTTTGAGAGGAACAAACGTATTTTGAATTTCTAAAATGTAACTAAATATAAATTTGTTTTTTTTCAAACTTATGCGTTAAATGAAAACTAAAGGAGCCACGAGTTTACAAAGTTTAGTAAGTTGCATAATGAAATTGAGTTTTTGCCACTAACTCGAATTTACTAATATCTATATCTTCGCAACCTCATTAGTGTAAACCTTTGATATTTCAAACCTATACCATTCGATCTAACAGAATTCCTAGTTTGAAATATCTATGGTCTACGACATTGGGTTGCAAAGAAATAGGGATTATAAAATCAGAGTTTGTGGCAAAAACTCAACTCCTTTGACCTTATTCTTCTGTCTATTTCAATTTGATCGCAAACAGCTACATTTGTTCATCATTTTTTACCAAGAAATTTACATAGGCTACCCTTTAAACCTCCATCTGAGCACCACTGAGAAAGATAACTATTGCAAAACGTGTCGTAATATGGAATTTCCCTTTGTCTTTGTAGCATGAATCTGCAAGTAACTTTTTTACAGTGGTGTGCTTAAGATAGTGTGTACTGAGTGATTTAGGTTGATTACAGTGATGTGCTGAAGATAGTGTGTAATGTGTACTTTAGGTTGATTACAGTGGTGTGATAAAGATAGTGTGTACTGTGTGCTTTAGGTTGATTACAGTGATGTGCTGAAGATAGTGTGTAATGTGTGCTTTAGGTTGATTACAGTGATGTCCTGAAGATAGTGTGTACTGTGTGCTTTAGGTTGATTACAGTGGTGTGCTAAAGATAGTGTGTACTGTGTGCTTTAGGTTGATTACAGTGGTGTGCTGAAAAAAAGTGTGTACTGTGTGCTTTAGGTTGGTTACAGTGGTGTGCTGAAAAAATAGTGTGTACTGTGTGCTTTAGGTTGATTACAGTGGTGTGCTGAAGATAGTGTGTACTGTGTACTTTAGGTTGATTACAGTGATGTGCTGAAAAAAAGTGTGTACTGTGTGCTTTAGGTTGGTTACAGTGGTGTGCTGAAAAAAGTGTGTACTGTTTGCTTCAGGTTGGTTACAGTGGTGTGCTGAAGATAGTGAGTACTGTGTACTTTAGGTTGATTACAGTGGTGTGCTGAAAAAAAGTGTGTACTGTTTGCTTCAGGTTGATTACAGTGGTGTGCTGAAGATAGTGTGTACTGTGTGCTTTAGGTTGATTACATTGGTGTGCTGAAGATAGTGTGTACTGTGTGCTTTAGGTTGATTGCAGTGGTGTGCTGAAGATAGTGTGTACTGTGTGCTTTAGGTTGATTACAGTGGTGTGCTGAAGATAGTGTGTACTGTGTACTTTAGGTTGGTTACAGTGGTGTGCTGAAGATAGTGTGTACTGTGTACTTTAGGTTGGTTACAGTGGTGTGCTGAAAAAAGTGTGTACTGTTTGCTTCAAGTTGATTACAGTGGTGTGCTGAAGATAGTTTACTGTCAACAACAAGATTTATTATAGTCTACACTGTCAGAGATAGATAGATAGATTGATAGATAGATAAATAGATAGACAGATAGATAGATAGATGAATTATTTGATCTAACAGAATACATTGTTTGACGACATCGGGTTTCAAAGATCAAGAGATTACAAAATAAGAGTTTGTTGCAAGAACTGAGTTCCTTTCAGTTCTTCTTGCTGAATTAGATCTGAGTAAGGTTGAATATTTAAAGAAGAAATATGTTTTTACCGCCAAGGGGTTATTTTCAAAGAGAATAGAATATACTAGAGTGGAAGCTACTCGAAAAAAGTGTAAAAGGCCCATTATGTTGTACTGTTTCCATACTGCAGGTGTACTTTACACATTTGTGCTATATAACCTTTTGGGCCCTGAAACATCATTTTATAGAAAAGTTTTCTTGAAAATTATTTGATTTTCTGTTAATCATTTCTCTGATAGCCTGTCATGCATTCCCGAGTCCATTTCAGCATAATTCCTCGTTAAAAATAAATTTGATGTTTTTATTTATTAAAAACATATTTTTTAATTCGAGGAAATCTAACAGTAAAATACATATTTTTGAAATACTTAAAATATTAAAATTGAAAATGAGGAAGGTAAATGGTTATTAACTCTTTAATTTCAAATTCATAACTTACAGTGGGACTCATAAAACTGTGAAATGGAAGGAAAACATTTAACCAATCTAATTTATGATTGCTAAGTTTTAAGCTTTGTTAGAATCCCCTTGCTAGGGTCGTCTTCTAATTGTTTTGCTTTTTGGGACAGCCAGTATGTGTTCTGCACCCTTGTTACTTTTTGTTTGTTTTGTTTTACAATGACATACAAAGAGAAAATGTTCACAATTAAAATAGCAGGTGGGCGCGAAGGTATTAATTGCAGGAAACAAAAGATTCTGAAGCAAAAAAGTTAACAATTCTGTAGGTATTCACTTTACAAACGACGATTTTTACATTTTAATGTTTAATAAAATAATTATATTAATTCACCTATAGCAAATACACACGTTTAAAGTTATTTAACAACTTTATAAAACAAAGAAATTGGAAGGGATATCTCCAGGGATCAAACTGTATTAGTGTGATGTACTGCGTATAATTTGTGAACATTTACATGAATTGTACACTTTGAACAAAGGGACTAACAAAATTCATACCGAGGGATTTTTTAAATTCCACTCTAATATATTCTATTCTCTTTGGTTATTTTATATTTTTTGTCAACGCTTTTTTCAGTAATTCACAATTTTTCTAATTAAACCTTTACCTAAAATTTGGTTAAGGATTAAAAAGATGATTTTATCTTTTCCTTTGTGAAAATTGATCCAGTCACGGCATTATATTTAGTGAACCGTGGATTTCTGAAGAAGATGTTATACTTATCTAATTTCAGACTGAAATGAAACTAGGTCTTTGCCATGGGGGTGAATTGTTGATAAACAAATGATAATATGATTAGTTTAAAATAAATACATAAAAGAATACATGGCTACGTTTTGTAATTGTAACTATAAACTATCTTGTATTTTCTCATAACAATCCATGCTGTATTTTTCATATCCTTGAAACTAAAGATGTGTAACCTCCAGTTAAATAATTTACAAGGTGTCTCAATACAGATGGGAAGTATAGGAATCATGGGAAGCATTAGAAGTATGGGAAATATGGGAAGCATGGGAACAATGGAATGTGGCAAATGATAGGTTGGGAAGCAAGGGAAGCAAGGAATGTCGTAAATATTAGGTTGGGAAGCAAGGAAAGTATGGAATGTGTGAAATATTAACTTGGGAAGCAAGGGAAGTATAGAAGGTGGAAAATAAAAATGGGGAAGTATGAGAAGTATGGAAGCTGGGAAATTAAAGACTATTGACCTTGAAACTTAAATATCATTTTGTTATCATTAACACACCCAACATTTCTGGTTCATATACACTTTAAAGTATACACTGTGTAC